ATGTTTTTTAAAACATAATTAACTAAAAAACAAAATAATTAGATTTTGAGTATCAGAGTTTGTATTGATAAAACAGTTGACGGAGACGGAACAGGCGCGTGAGCGGACATCGCCGGCGACCTGACAAAATTAAGATTGAGCAACTATTGTCATACGAAAGGAGGGGGACCCAGTAACAGTTACCAAAATGATGTAATCAGCTGAGAGTTGTGGGACCCAGATCCCACATGTCGCTGACGAGATCTCGTGAGGAGGAGAAATGATCAGATGCGGATGCAACTATTGTAAGGTATCGATTAGCGGGTCTCCATTGGTTGAAATTAAATCAATGGACTTATTTGAACACGTGGTTAGCTATTATTTTTCCACTAAATAAATTACCCTTTTAAGATAATTAATTTTTGTAATTTCTGAAATTTTCAATTATAGGTTATATAAATTTCTAATTAAACACGTTGACATGGGTCTAATTTTTTAATAATAATAATAAATGTAATAATAATATATATCGTGTCTTCTTTGAAACCAACCTTAAAATAAACTATAAATTAAATCGGATTTATGACATAAGATAGGGATAAAACTGTAATTTTGTCAAGAAAAGTAATATTTTGTTAGCTGGCAACGTTAAAAATAACAATTAAGCACTTATTAGCCACGTGGCAAGCCAGCAGACACGTAGATAAAACAGTTGGCTTCGCGAAGAGTAGAAGGAGACACGACAGTCAAGACTAGAGTTAGTTCCGACATTTGGTTCGTCTCATGCTTCGTTTTCCGACACCTCTTTTGTCGTTGACTCCGTTGACGCGCGTGTCCCACCGCCCTTTTTGTCTTTTCTCCCCCTCATCGATACCTTAATTTCAATTTGTAAAATAGTTGTAAATGAAGTAAAATGGAGACTTCAAAATTTTCAATTTTTAAAAATTTTTTGAAATAAATATGTGTTTTTTATTTCTAAATATAGGAGAAAATAAAATTTTGTAATATATTATAATTTAATTTATTATAATAATAAACAATAAAAATATATTTTTTATTTAATTATCTCTCTTAATTTAAACGAAAAATAAATAAATGATTAATTTAATTAATATTTATAAAAAATATCTAATGAATTATAAATTTAATAGGAAATATTTAGAAAAAAAGATGAATATTTATTGTTTACTATTTAACAATTATTTATTCATAAATTGCTTTCGAGATTGTTAATTTTTATTTATTATTTAAAAAAAATAATTATTTCGTAAATTATAAAAAATAAATATATTTACCATTTAATTACGACAAAAAAAAAATGTTGATCAAAAATCAATTATAATTTTATTGTTATAATAGCTGTTTAATCATTTATAGTAATTCTTAAAGTATCGAAAATTGAGTATCTTAACTATACGTAATGTATTACATTATCGTAAAATTAATTATATTTAATTTTATAAAAATTTATTTTTATTTTATTTAGCATTAGTTCTATATGTAAGTATTTTAGTGATGGATTTTATAGAAACCAGATGGGTCTACTTAGTTAAATGGTAATGGATGGTGATATATTAAATAAGATAAATCCACATTTGATAAAACTTTAGTTTATCCTAAGACTGAAAAATAATGACGCTACACTACCTTCAACGCTCTTTATCCATCCTTCAAACTCGAATTACCCCATCAAAGTACCTAAAAAGTTCAGCCATGAACATGTGAAGCAAGCTTCTGCTAGTTCAGCTACATTATTAATTACTTTCACAATCCGATTCAAACCCATTTGAACACGAAAAGAACTATTTATTCACGCGAAGAAACTGAGGAAACATCGGCGCAATGATCCTTTGTGACATTTCGACAAACATCTGGCGCGCATGAAGCAACTCATCAGCTGTAACATACCTCCTTCAACTTCTTCGCCGTCGATTCATCCACCGAATACTGAAATCACCATAAAATTCTTGCCATAAAATTCTTGATAAAAAAATACCCAGAACCCATATATACATATATATATATATACATACAAGTACGTGGTTTGTATATGTTTTATTTTACCTTGTTGAGGACCCAGATGGAGTGGTTGTAGGCTCTGTGGAAGAGCTCCTCGATGGTTTTGGTGTCTGCGGCGTCTACTTCTCTGTAGTTTACGAAGTTTTCGCGGACGTATTTGGCGTAGTAAGGCCTTGTGTCCGCCGGCAAATGCCTCACCAGCCTCAATACGGCGGCGTATACTCTCAACGCTTTCTCCATATCCTCTCTTTGCTATTTCAACATTCATTTCTTCCCCGCCTTCTTTTCAACTGTTCAGTTTGGGCCTTAATACGGCGCCGTGTAGTCTCGACGCTTTCTCCATTTTCTTTCTTCTTTTCGCTCCTTTCTCATTTCTGACCCGCCTTCGTTTCAACTGTTCAGTTTTGGGCTCTGCACTAACCAGACAACGGGCTTGGGCCTCGATTTTAACTGGTGAATTAATGGGGTATCTCCCATCTTCCCACTATCAACTGAAAGTTTGAATCATCAGATTCCGCCATTATTTTCATTAGCAAAAGCAATTGATTTTGCCCGGCTACATTTCACCAATGATCCGAGGAAAGGAGTTTTTAAGCGTGGCAATACACCTAAGGGGTTAATGTGTTGCTTCCATGAAGATCGCTGGTTTGGCTTTACGCTACACTCCACGAGGAGACTACATTCCAGATATAATGGTGAGGCACAGAGGAAAGTTTGGCTCGGTTGCTGACGGCGGATTTTCAACCCTAATTCCCCAATCAAAGTGGAGCCAGAGGAAGCAGGAAAACCACTTTATGTGGTTCCTGAATCTTGTAGAAGCTTCCAGATTGAAGGATATGCACAAGGACGATCTTGGCTACAGCTGCAAACATGGTACGAGCTCCTAACACTGAACTTATTGTTTGAGCCTATTTCCGGTTATCATTTAATCTTGTATGAAACAGCATGATTTGAGTAATTCCGTGGAGAATGTCTTGTTGAAGAAAGATGCTAGAGAGTAGCAATTTTCCAGTTCTTCCTAGGAGTTTGATGAATAAGTTTGACTGACAGAAATGAACTTCTTAGTGACATAACACCTAGCCTTATATGTTGGTACATAGAATCACCATTACCAACAATTTTGCCAGCTCTTTTAGTTAGCTAAGTGTCATGAATTAGCGCGAAGGAAAAGGATGGAAGGCAATATCCTATTCCTTGAACTGAAAAGAATAATGAGAAATATCTAGAATTAGTTTCAATTCCTACATTCTCTCAGGCTCTCTACATTCTCTCAGGCTCTCTACATTCTCTTTTATTTCTCATTCATCGTCACCCTTCTCTATTTTTTCTTTTCCTTTTTTTCCCTACCACTTTTCTCTTCCCTTTTATGTGACTGTTATTAGGGCTGTTTTGGTTCACGCATGAGCCAGTGGTCTGACAATCTAGTATCAGAGCACAAAACTCCTTCCTTAGTTTTGAAGCCAGCAAAAAACAAGAGTGAAACAGTGATATCAGACTTACAAAGGGTAGCACAAGTCGAGGAGTCAATAGAAGGACTTGACAAATGAATGCGGAATTACATGACTGAAATCTATGCTACCGTGGACTCCAAGTTGGCTGATAAATATTTCTAACTCCGGAACTCGTTGGTAGAAACAATGCGCTCCATAAGCATGAGCCAAAAACCTACATTTTACATCAGTAATTTGTTAGGTCCCAGTTAGAGCTTCACACTCAAGTAAGATTTTCTACTTTAGGCGAGAAAAGACTAGAGAAGTTTTTAGATTTCTTGAATGCTTTATTGATGAATGTCGAGACGTTTATTTAGGTATGAGTGCAAATGACTGGATAATTTTAAATAAAAATAGAAGATACAAGTAAATCAAAAAGGAATTCAAAAAACAATTGCTGGTGTTGAAATTCTGGAGTGGATAGCAGCTCGTCCATGATTTTTGGGTAGATTTCTTCCTCTGTTTGTTGCAGTTTGTGCGGAACAGAGATTTCTTCCTCTGTTTGTTGCAGTTTATGCGGAACAGCTGGGTTGATAAGTTATCCGAGTATCTCGGATTCTGTTTGGCCTTCCTCTATGATCTTCGGATCTTATCAGCACCTCCCCCATTGATAGTAACCTTGTCCTAAAGATTAGGAAATTGTTCGGCTAAGTTCTGGGCGAGTTCCTAGGTGGCTTCTTCAGCTGGGAGCTGTTTCTATTTAACCAGGTTTTCTTCAATAATCTTGCCACCTCGTTTGATCCAACGA